TAATTCCTATACGTAAACAACGCTAATTGCAATATATTTCCATCTTTATTATTCCAACATTTTAATTGTTCTTTTGAGATAATTATCAAATACAACTTGCCACAGCATTAATTCCAAACATCTGATGTTATTTTGCATTTTTATCACTTCAGGTGTTTCGATACAGTTTTTTGGAAACCATACCGATATTTTTCAATCGCCTTAATAGTGATTTTGCACAGATGACGTATTCCGTCATCGTCTGTTCAAATGTCTGCCATTAAAAATATTACTAGACTTCATCATCATGATGCAATTTACCTGCCTCGTCCGCAGTCGCTCGCGATGGTTCTCATGGTATTTAATTTGATTATCAAGAAAAGCGAGACAAAGGAGGAAACGGAAAGGGAAGGAAAAAATAATAATATTTTGCCATCCCATCACCTCTTGCTCTTGCTCATTCCCATCTCTTCACTCAGGCCCAGGACTGCGCTATTGGCGGGAAACAGTTTCATTGTTAGATGCCATGTGACCTCGAAGAAACCAATGAGAGAGCACGCCAGTAAGCAAAAAATATCCAGGTTTAGTATATACACACTCAGTGATCTTGGTGATTTAAGCAATCTGATTGGTTCGCTATCTCGGACTATTCAACAATATTCACCTCCCAGCGAGTGGATAATGTGTGAGCTCGGTTTTTTCCCCATTTTCTTAGGGAAAGATCTTTTAAAAGTCGAGAAAATCCTAGGGTTGACATTTTTTCAGGCAAGAAAAGACTTCGACGGATTCAAAACGGCGTTTTTTTCCATTAACGGTCAGTGTTGAGTTTTGTGCTCGAACTCCCGTTTATTCGCCTAGAAGAGGCCGTTTCGTAAACTCAGCGTTTCCTAACAAGAAAAATTTGGCCTAAAAACGAAGTCTATTGACAAATTTGAAAGCAAATGTTTGCAGAAATTCTACGTTTCAAGTAAACACGAGAAAGAATGCTACATGAAGACGACGTCTATACCTCGAGGAACCGAATCGCCATTTTTGTCAGCACTTCATGCGAAGAACGACACAACAAACCTTTTCGGCTATAAACTTGGCGAGTCAACAGAAAACAACAAAGCTCTTCTTTTCTTCTCAGATAAGGAAACAATTCAAACTTTTAGCGGTTCCATTTAAGTCATTACGCTGTTGTTTGCGAAGTGATAAGCTTGTGAATTGCCATGTTGGAAAATTCTACAAAGATCTATTTTCAAACTGTCGCGTGTCTAGCTGACCTGATCTGTCAATCAAATCGTACGTTTTAATGGTTTCCTCTCTGTTTTTTTTTTCAGATCACTTCGTGTGTATATACTAAAACAATTATTCTTTTCAATCTCGGTGAATAGTGGCTTTAGGAATATTTACCTCGCCACTTCGTGGCTCGGTAAATTTTCCCACTGTTCACCTCGATTTCAAAGACTAATTGTTAAATATGGCACTTCAAACGATTTAAGGGTGATTGTACGGTGAATATAAAGTACAATCGTACTATTAATAAACTATGGTAACTATGCTGTACTTCATTTAAAATGCTGAGAAAGTTCAGCACGTGTACTGTTGATTACGAGTACTATTTAAGATACGTTTGTGCGCGCACTATTATAGGAAAAGTTGTAGTATGTCAAGGGCAAATAAAGAGAAAGAGAAAAACATCGTTCTCTTTGGTTATTTTATATTTGCGCGTTAAGAAAATGGTGAGAGGGATTCTTTGGGTCGTTTGGGTTACGAGCTTTGTATATAGTTACTGATTATTCAAAGTTAAAAGCAAACACATTATTTCTTTGTCACACTGTTCAATCTTTTGAAAGATTCACGAGGACGAAGCGTCATAGTGTAAAACAAATGAATGCGATGCATGGCAGCATTTGTTTAGAGTTAGGAACCATGTTATTTGCTAGTGAAAAAGGGTCTTTGCAGTGTGTTTTTGAAGATAGCTGCCGACATCGTCTTCGGCCGCGTTTTAATGCAGGTATCATTATATTATTCAATTTTTGTAGACTTTGCATTGATTTTTGTCTGAGACAAATAGGCCCTTTGCAGAAGTGGGTCACGTGCTTGAATACCACTTAGCAACGGCTCGCGAGATGGTGAGGCATCCAAGCGTTTATTCTTATCACAAAGCTTTGAGTGCGATCGCGCGAAGCCTTCCTAAGGTAATTCAAAGGTAAAGCGGCGTTAAATAGGGGTTTGCGCCTTTTTCTTAGCAACTGTCTTTTTCCTTTTTGTTTAATATCTTTATCCTGTATATTTTCATATTTTGATTTTAGTATTGATGAATTTTCGACTTTTTCCAGGCACACAAGTACGTATCGCCGAAAAAGAAGCTACACTCCCCAAACCATATAAGTCTAAAACCGTGCCTTTCCTTTGACCCTTGCATTTACGTTCTTTGTAGTAAAGGTAGGAACGCAAAACGACGGAACAAAGTGCAAGACGACTTGTCGCCATTTTTTTTTTATTAGAGTAGAGCGGTTGGCTTAGGAAAACTGCCAACAAAAACGATAACCTATTCCACACGTGTGTGGATTTCATATAAGGTGCCTGTACTGAGTCCCTAGACAGCCAAGTCCAAGGAGCAAATACTCACCCTCCCCACCCATGAAGCTTTTGACTAGTCAATCACTTCCCCCAAGCTCTGCTAGTAGTGTTATGATTATGAGTCACAGCATTGATTTGGCTGAGCTAGCCCAAAGGAAAATTCTCTGACTTTGCACTGCTATCTGACAAAAACTGTAATCAAAGTGACAAACTCTCCCCTCCCTACCCTCCTGGTTTACTCACAAGGACGGGCTAATAAGAGGTTTCTCAAAAATGCTGACGTTAGAAATTGTAGGGTCTTTACAGGCGGATAGACGAACGCTTTGTACGCAGATCCAAGAATGCCCTAAAAGGCAAGTATAGACGCAAAAATCTTGATTGTTTTTTTGCCAGCGAAAGGTAAGGAAAGCAAAGGTTTTTCAAACCAAATTGATGTTGAAGAGCCCTCAGACTAAGTATGCTATGTTACTATAAAACTTACAAAAAATATCGATCTGCAGAATTTTTTTTATTTTTTATTTTTGCATTTGCACGTGCGCGCATGTCTTCGCTCCGGCATGCATGCGTTACAGCTGAAGAATAAACGAATTAATCCGGGGCTCGGTCGTTGTGTTCTCTAAGGGCCTCTTTACATGGAGGTGGGTGACCCCAGGTAAGTGAGGTAACATGTGGCGGGTCACCCCGCCTAACATGTAAACGTGATCACATCAAAATAAGAGATTATATGGACAGGCGGGTTACCCCACCTAAGCAAGTTATCTGACCTTCCTGGGGTCCCCCACCTCCATGCAAACAGACCCTAATATACATGTATGAAGCTGTGCCACGCCTGTTGCTGACGAAACGCCGCCCGTATGAAATTATTTCAATGTAAACACAGGAAACCAAGTTCCACCTTAAAAAAAAAGACATGAGAGTGTAAATGGGTAAGAGACGTGTCAAGCAGCAGAATATATCAGTTATTGGTCTATTCAAGTTAGCTGGACGACATAAGAAAATGGATGATGTTTTTGTAAACACACGTAAGCACACGTTTGAGTCACTCTCTCAAAACAAAACAAAACAAAACAAACTACAAACAAACACACAAACTCAATCCCAAACAACATTTGTCACGTGTCTTTTACTCTGTTTGTTTGTTTGTTTGTGTGCCATGTTTATATTGTCTAGTTGTTCGTTTGTCTGTTATTTGTTTTTTCACGTGTCTTAATTTCCGATACTTTTTAACTAGTTGTAGTTGTTCATTTCAACTGTATTAAGCGACCAGTTTTCAAAGGTCCCGAGTTTCCCTGCATACAATACAAACATTGTAATGGTTATTTTTATCAACCGGCCACCTCTTTGCAGCCCATGGCTGGCTTTCTTTGTTATTTTTACCTGTGATAACTAGCAGCCACCCGCAAATGTAAGAATTATCATAGAATGAGGAATGAGATATTTCGGCCGGATGAGCTTCAGGGCTCGCAGTCACTGTTTGTTAGGCCACCAGGATGACGAATAGCACTTAATCATAATAGTGCTTTTATTTCACCTTTACCGGTTCATAAGTTATATTTGCAACTTTGTTGAAAGGGCAGAAATTGAAAGATCAGATGAGATTGGGGCCGCCCTGGTTGCCTTATTGCTTGGTTGAATCAAGATTGAATAGTGTTACACTATCAAAGTGTGTTCTGATTGGCTACGCGAGTGGGCAAGATGGGCCCAATCACCATCATGACCGATAGAGAAATTAAAGAGACCTTTAAAGAGACCTTTTTTTTTTCCCCATAAGGGAATGAAGTTGGATGAGAGTATTAATTCAAGCACAATGTCAATGAAATAGAAGCTTTCAAATTGACCAACTCAAAATAAGCACAAAAATTATTATTATTATTATTATTATTATTATTATTATTATCATTTATTATTTTTATTTTTTTTATAACAAGAGTGTTTCTTTCTTTATGACCCGCGCTAATACTAACAACGTAGACGTAGACCACTTACTTTTTTTTACGCCAGTAGACGCGCATGTTTTAAGGCCCATATTGTACGGGCGGTAATAATTAACCCGGTCTAATAAACATTTTATCATTGTTATTTAATGTTTTTGTCGGAAATAAAGTAGCGATGACCTGAAAACTGAACCATGTAATAGTATCCCAAGAAAAATACTAGGCTGAAAAATTAACTGTATAAAAGACCACACGCAGAAAAGCGTTAAAAGCTTGGAACTTGTTTAAAAAAAATAAGCGATCACTCCCCGAATTACATCTGCTTTGGAGGGAAACTGTCTGAAAACAACATTGCAGCTGCAATAGTGAATGTTCGTTTCATAATTTGACTGGCTCGCAGAACAATTAATTAGCCTTTGAGCTGTTAATACGCATGACAATACTGTGAACGTTTTAATTTTCTGCACAAGTTATTAGCAGTAACTTTCAAGTTGCGGCAGAGACGGAAAAGACGGGAACATGTATGTCCCCCGTCAAGTTGGCGTTTTCTTCCTATTGCTGTTTTTCTTAAAGGTTGCCTCCTTCGCCTGCATTGATGGTATGTGTTCTAATTTCATTTCTTTCTGTTTTCACATGAAAAAAGAATTGTCTGGGGGGAAGAGTTTCAATACGTTTTAGTGTCGCCGCACCACGAGTTCCTAGTCGTGAAGATGTTCTCCAGCGGTACTATGAAAATTCTGTTAGTCTACTAGAAAAAATAAAAATAAAATATTTAGACTTGCAATATCTGGATATCTTCCATCCAAATGCTACGTACGTTAAGGGTTTGCAAGATAAGTAGTAAAAATAACAGAACAACATTACAAAGTAGTCAAGAGTCATTCGCTAAAATGCTGTCATATTATATAACATTCTTTGTTTGAGCCGAAAATGTTTTTCGTTGAAGGAAGCTTAAGTGTTGCGTGAAAACCCCCGCCCCACACATGCGCGAACTGTAACAGGTGCTTTATCCACAAGCCCATATCAAATTTCTCTCCTGCATTCGCTGTTAAATACAGTATGTTGAAGTTTTTAAGCTAAATTGTTAAATTATAACTAAAGAAGACACTGCGATTCGTAGCTATGTTCTTGTTTCTTTGTTTTTAAGATGTTATAAAAATAGGTCAGTTTTTAGTAGCTGTTCGTTTATCCCTCGCGCGTATTTTGAGACAAGGTTAGTGATGGTCAGCTACACTATGGTTACGAGATATGACGTCATACGTAGCAGGTGGTCAAACCATTTTTAAGTAAAAATGAATGCCTTTTCAACTTCTTTCAACAATAAGAGTAAAGCTTGTGGATGCAGAGATGCAAAATGCTTATTTATGTGTTACGTTACTCGTCAAGCACAAAAAAAATACTATTTATCCCGGTTACAGCGAGCTCCATGTTCTAATACAAGTGAAAACTCGGGGAAACCTTTTATTCTGCAGGAAAGAATTAGTATGGGAAACTGACAAGATAAACAAACCCTTGATGCTGCCGGCTGCGAAAATTGCTTCACATTAAGCTGACACAAAGGGTGCTTCATTTGTTAAACAGTTCTGTCTCACATTTATCTCTTGTTGGTATTCGTAAATTTCCAAATGCAGAGAATATATAAATTCTAATAAATTTAGAAGAGGGAAAAACTGCTATCTTTTTTTGCTTAAGGCAGACACACTTATGCATGGAGATTACTTAGAGCGGTTGCAAGAAACTGCTGCTGAGCGAGCCGTCAGGACTCAGGAATCTGCATCAGGTTCTCGTCACTTTCGTGGATATGTTCCGAAATGATGTCACTTTCAAATCGAAATCAGTTAAGAACGTCTGTCCCAAAACAATAACAAGCTTAGCCCGTTAACACAGGGATATTGAAATTTGCAACAGCTTCCCGTAGTTGGGAAAACATTATTTGCTGTTCGTTTTTTTTCTTATTGGTTGAATACTGAAAGCTGTCATGACATAGTTCTCTATTTGAAGCCGTGAGAGGAAAATTAATAGGGTCATACTGCTTTCTATATTCCTTTTCTCTTCTCTTTCGGGCCTTTTTTTTCTCTGACATTTTTTTTCTCTAATTTCCAGAAGCGTGATTTCATTCTCCTACTGGGAATCATAAAATTGGGCCCGGGTTACTTTCTATATATAACTAAAAGTTTACTGATAGTCATGAAAACTCCTTCAACTTATAAACGTATTTTAACAGTTAAGCTGGACATTGTATTAAATAATAAAGAAGATAAACACGCGATTTACATACATACGTCATTTGGCAGATGGATTTTAAATGTATTTCTTGAAATTGTCTATAAATATATTTTTACATGGACCTTTTAGTTATACGCCTCCGTTCCAACCAGCTCAAATTTCTCTTTGTGGCTGCAAAACCGTAAGATAAAAACTATTTACTATACCAATGCAAAGGTGGAGGGATGTTTGGTTACCCCTTATCCCTGTACTGCAGCTTAGTTAGTTCACTGTTCCTGTAGTACCGTTTATCTAGTTTTTCAAAGTTCTTTTTTTTTCGGTCTGTAACGTTTGATACAATTAATGCTTGGAAGACATATTTGTTTGCAACGAAGCATTGATCTTGTCATTCACAAGGTCTTTCATGCATGAAAATTAATTTCTTTTACTTATATGGAGGTCGCAATATTAACAACATGGGAAGGACTTCTCGTAAACGACAGTGCAACTGGTTTTTTTTTTCTTCGTTGTTATTTTGGCTGCCTAGAAGTAGCACAATAAAATATTAATTGATCTGTTAATTTGAATGACATGACTGAAATCTCTCATTTTGCACAAGTTATTAGCGGAAATTAACTTGTGGTAGAAGGAATTAAGCAAATTAAAGGGGAACATGTATGTTCCCCTTCAAAGTTGGCGTTTTCTTCCTACTGCGATTTTCTTTAATGGTTGCCTTCACCTGAATTGATGGTATTGATTCACGGTTTTTCTTCACATTACGAGTTCCTCTAAGAAAGTACTAGTTGCACGAAAGACACAGAAAGAAGAAGATCGTTTAAAAATGTTTATATAGGCTAAGTTCCTCTTCTGTTTATGTCTTGGTTCCAGCCTTGTCATTCGGCTGAAAAAATCTTCTTAAGAGATATTTTCGATCACTTGATTGTTTTGACTTCCTTAGAAACGGAATGACAAGAATCAATATTTAATAATTAACTAAGGGTAATTGTCCAAGGCTTAATTTGTTTTAAGTCATCCCTTGGTCCAGGTTAAGCAATTGCAGATTCAGGATAAGAACTGCATAATATTCAAGAAACGTCCGGACCTTTTGGCATTCTTGGGTAATGAAAATCGCCTTTATTAGAGTAAAGACAGTTAGCTATAGAAATGTGGTAGCGTTAAAGCACATTAAAAGAGAAGAAATCGTCACTTTTCGTTGACATGCGTTGCTCAAGAACATGTTTGCCTTTAAGCTGCCTATTGCTATGATTGTGATACCTGTATGTAGGTGGATATATTCAGTCAGGTATAATAATATTAAAACCGGTGGAATTTGAGAGTGACCCTTCTAAGGCGCCCTAATTCTAATGAAAATTTAAGCGCACTCGTGGGAGTCAGATTTATACAGATGTAATCGGGTACATAGTGACAACTGACCACCCTCGGGATGTATATTTAATTTCGAAAAGCAAAAACCGCCCAAAATTAATTTGACAGGGTTTTGCAGAATCTATATCACTTGTGAACAAGTTAAGCAAAAAAGTGTGAGACATAAAAATGTGAGTTTGCATGATTTAGAACTGCCACTGAAAATCCGACATGATCAGATAGTGTGGTTTGCGGTCAAGGAATTCTCCTGTTTGATTGTTTAAAATGGGTATACATATATACATTTCAGTCTTCATTCGCATGCAGTTTTATTGCAGTATTAAATGGAACGATGTGTATGTGTCAGAATACTCCGTGTGTTTAAGGTCATGTTTCCTTACCATGACAGCATTGCTTGCTTTCTCGTTCGGGTCTGTAGATCTAGATATATAGACGCAGGTTTGCAGTTTTTAGCTTTGAAGTCACCGTGTCTCCTAAATATGTATAATCAAAAAAATTTCATAACGGGGCAAAAATAATCTTATATGCGTGACAGTCAAACTTTTATTCACTAAGAATTCTATGAAGCCACCCCACAGATTTGACGACAAGCGATCAACAGTGCCAAATACGAGTGCAAAGTTGCACTTTTGAGTAAAAAAAAATACCAGCGCCGAAACGAGTTCTCACCTTGTTTTCAGTCGCTCCAATGCCTGCGAGGAAGATTATTTGGCCCACTCCAAGGGAAGCGACAAGACTTACCCGGATTTGTGACAGTGGTGCTTTAATATCGCTGTGGGTCTAGTAAAATCGCCGTGACAACCGAGGAATCAGTTTAATCAGCTCACCCAAACCAAGACCCAACTGATTGATACTTGGGACAATTTTATAAGATTTAGCCAGTTAGCAATGCTTGGCCCATAACCTCGACGTAGAAACTGAAAAGAGCAACGACTAGCTGACTCTATGTCTGCTAAACTCCTAAAACTCTATGGCTGATAAGACAATAGTAGCTGTGTAAAAAAAGGCAATGTGAAAAAAGAAAATGTAAGGAAAGCAAGGACAAGCTGATTATAAATCTTTCAGATTACTTTGTCCTTCACAAAATATTGGAAACTGCAAATTCCGAGAATCAAGATTTCAGTAGACACCCTAGATTAAAAGTGGACTTTTTTTGTTTAATGCCCAAAGCCCAAAGAAGTACTTTTTTCAGGATTCCTGTATATGAAAGGGTAAGGGTTTCACTGGTTGATTTATAAAATAAGGTAGGGAAATCTATCATTGCGGTCTGCGGAAGGACCTAAAAGGTGTATTTTATAGCTGTGAAAAAGACAAGATAACTTTCTGTACGTGAAGGGGGTAAGGGGGTATCATTTGTTATATTAACAAAATGTGATTCGAAAGGAGCACTTTTTCTGTCAAAACTGGTGTATAAAAGGGCTAGGGGTTGCACCTCGGGGTGGAGCCCCCCCGTGTGAAATTTGAGTTCAGTCCCCCCAGTGAAATTGTGCGTATAATTCAGCATTCCATAGCAAATACAAATATTTTACAAAACATAATTCAGTAAACAAAATATTTCATAAAATTGGTTAATCGTTCATGACAGGAGATCTGTATTATGACAAGAGAATTACTTGGACGTTTCCTTGATTTATTTAACAAAAAATACAATATCAGTTTAAAATATTCACTACAAGCTACTATATTTCAGTCTTTACAATACAAAGATACAAAAACCTCTACTTTGAGAAGACATGCAAACTATCTTAATGTTCATAATGACACAATATGTATACGAAAATTACATTTATAACTGCATTGTGGCTTATTGTTAATACATCAACATGTAGTCTACAAAAACCGTTAACTTTAATGGTCATGGAGACCCCCGAATCACTTTCCATTAAGTTGTCCTTAAAATTAATTGTACCCCTTTCATACTATATCTTGAAGAGACAGTAACATTACCAGTTGAATGGATAATCAATCGCTATTTTTTTCTATTTCTACAAGATCCTTTTAAAGGGATCTCTTAGAAAACCTCCTACACAGGTCGACCTTTATCAGGCGCGGATCTAAGATAAGTACTGACCGATTTCCTAAACGAGCGCTGAAAGGGTAAGCTTTTAGGGTGTCCGGGAACATGCTCCCCCTGGAAATTTTTTGGATTTTAACTCCTTAAAGTCTCCTTTTTTGGGGTCCCTGAGTCATTCAGACAGGATACTGGCGAGATTAGGGATCTCGCTTACGTCAAAGGGAAAACGCGAATTTGTAGCACGTGACGAAGTTCCCTTTGTTTGTCGCCTACTGTTCAAAATTTCTACACATAAATTAGTACTTTCGCGCAATTTTTCGTACGTCAAATTTTATCAAAAAATGATTGACTAGCTATAGGACCACAATACAAGGCTGCATAGGCCCGTCGAAGCTTGAAAAAAATATCCGCAAGTGGAATTAATGAACATGTTTGATATACCAATGAGAAACATGTTTCACAACGAGCTTGTAACCCTGAGTTTGAGTTCCAGAAACAAGAATGTCATAAAACAAAGGGAAGAAAGAGGAACCCAGTTGTAAAGGACTTGAATGACAGTTCAGTCTTTGTTTCCGGCAAGCTAACGCTGAAGAATAAAACAGGGTCATTCTCTTTTCTTTTCCCTCCTTTCTTTTTTGACAAATATTTTTTACCAAAAGCGTGATTTCATTCTCTTATTCGGAATCATAAAATCAGATTACTTTCTAATATATAAGTGAGAGTTGATTGAAAGTCAAGGAAAATCCGTCGACGTATTTTAACAGTTAAGTTGAGCATTGCGTTAAATAAGAAGATAAACACGATTTGCATACGTCATTTGGCGGATGGATTTTTAATGTAATTTCTTAATTACCGGCTGAAATTGTCTATAAATATATTTTTACATGCACCATTTAGTTATAAGCCTCTATTCGAATCAGCTCAACTTTCTCTTTGTTGCTCCAAAACCGCAAGATATAATTAAGTTTTAAGTCTGCACCATTTAGTTAGAGGGATGTTTGGTTACCCCTTATCCCTGTACTTGAGCTTAGTTAGTTCACTATTCCTATAGTACCGATATTTCGATTTTCAAATTAATCATCCGCCTTCTAGCTAGTTTTAATTATTTTCCAAGTCATTCCAGTCCTTACGAAAATAGAATATAACAATAACAACAATAATAATAATAATAATAATAATAATAAATATAAAATGGCCAGTTATACTAGTCTTATATTCTTATATAGTAAGGGAGTACGTTAACAGCAGGTGGATAAATGTCAAATGCCTATATATTGAGAATCAATATAATATTGAGAATCAGGATTTTTGCTGGAAAGGTTTAATTGAATTGACTCAGTTTACTCTAAATGAGCCAGCCACATGGTAAACATTAGCCAAACAGGAACGTGTAGTGCAGAATTTATTTACTCCTTCATTAAATTTACCGTTTCGCGAACCAAAAGTTAAAACTAGTTCCTGTGCCTTAATACTGATTTGAAAACTTGCTTCCCACTTTCCGTAATCATTAATCTGTACAAAAAAGGTCGTAGTTGGTAGATCTAAACGTATCTGTTTTGTGAGAATCATATTTCCAACAATTAGGTGTGGCTCTCCCCTGGATCATTAACTTCTAACAGAAGCATATGCTTCTGCTTCTAAACAGTATACTTTCAATTAGCTTCAAAACTAACCGTTTTTATTACCTACAATTTTAAGTAGCTCCATGTTCTAAGTGAAACCTCGGGGAAACATTTTGTTTAACAGGGAAGTAGAGTAAGGTAAACAGACAAGATAAACAAACCTCTAATGCTGCCGGCTGCGATAATTGCTAAACTGCACTTAAAGTTAACATACTGAGGGTGCTTCATTTGCGTGACGCAGTTTTGTATCACATTTATCTCTTTTTGGTGCTCTTACACTTCCAAATACAGAGGATATATAAGTTCTTATAAATTTAAAAGAGAGAAAAACTACTATCTACTTTCCCGTAAGGCAGAAAAATTTATGCATGGAGAATTACTGGGAGTGGGTGCAAGAGTCTACTGCTGAGCGATCCCCACAGGACTAAGGAATCTATATCAGTTTCTCGTCACTTTCGTGGAAATGTTACGAAATGATGTCACTTTCTTCAAATCGAATTCAGTTAAGAATTTGGTTATCTCTTCTTAAAACGTGTTCAATAAAAATTGTTACCAAAACAATAACAAGCGATTAGTCCATTAAAACAGGGATATTGAAATTTTGCAACAGCTACCCGTAGAAATATTGTTTGCTGTCCGTATGTTCTTAATGGTTGAATACTGAAAGCTGTCATGACAAAGTTCTCTATTTGAAGCCGAGAGAAACGTGATAGGGTCATCCTGCTGTCAATATTTTCCTGTTTTAGGCGCACGTTGTTAGTTTCTGAACCACTGAGGTAAGATATAGTAGGGATAATGCCGAGCATGGACGTTTGTCTCCAAATTTGTGCCTTTGGTCTGTCTCTGTTTTTATTCCCAGTTGCCTTTGGTTGCACTGATGGTAAGCATTTTATTTCATCTTCAAAATTTGGTTTGCAAACCTTCTTTAGTTAAGTTACCTAACCTTGAAGGCAACTCAATTAAACATCCAAAAGTGGAATTAACAATTCAAATATATATAATTAAACCTTCTTGAAGTAGTGGAATGAATTTCGGACACTTTGTGTTCCACTACCCCAAACTTTGTAGTAAATTAAAGCAAAAATAGGTACTTATACATAAAAACCAGAAAAGAAAAAAGCTTAACGATACTTCGAGTCATGCTGCAAGCTGTGAAACGCTTAAAATGAGATTGACGGGGTGAGCATTTACTGCATTTAAGGCTGACAAAGAGCGACTTTTGATATTCCTTTTTTTTATTCTTTGCAAACAGTTGTTTTTATGTTCAAAAGTGAGTGTTTTTCTTTTTAATTGTTCTCTTTTTTTGACTCATTTTGACTAACTTAATCTCATTACAGGAATAGTCATGCAAAATTCCCGTATATTTTTTTAATAGCATATGCTGAGTAAAGGATTGGATATAAGCGCTTATCGAATTTCTTGATTCATTGATATTTTCCATATATCTTTATTCCAAGGCTGTTAGGCTTTTTATTGGTAATACAATCGAATTGAGTTCAAAATATTTTACCCAAATACACCGTCTGTTGATACCGCTGAGAAAAAGTAATAACGCCGTAAAATTGATTGTGTCCTTGAAGCAAAATAGTTTGGAAGGCTTCACTACCAATGGTTTTTCGAAGATTCCAAGTTCGCATTTAAGACCACTAACTTCAATATCTCGAAAAATATGCTATATAAAGTCTGGACTTCAGATTGTTTATGAAGTTTAACAGTTTAGTTCTAATAACTATTTTTTAAGGTAATTTTCGTTTATGCAATCAAATTAATTCAGTTCAAACTATTTTTCGCAAAGACACTGGCTGTATACGCGCAAGGAAAAAAATATAACCCCGGAAAAATTACTGTCAATGTCCTTGAAGACAAATAATTCGGAAGGCTTCATCGGTGCACCATAAATCTTTTTAATTTCTGAAAAGCATACTTCCTAAGCAATAAAAAGAGACCAAAATTAATATAAATCTGTACGTGGAATATTTAAGAATTTATGATTTTTCGACGATTCAAAGTTCGCTAACTAAATTTTGCGCAAAATGACCTGTGTGCAACTTTGGACAAAAACACGAAATTCTACATCTCGAAAAATATGCCATGTAAGGTTGGGATTTCAAAATCTTTATGCAGTAGAACAGTGTTTTCACTATTTTCAAGGTAATTTCCCTTATGCAATTGAATTGAGTTCAAACTATTTTTCGTAAATTACCGTGTAAGAAAGTGGATTGGCAATATTCACAGCATGGAAAGGAATTGTTTGAAAACAACAGTGCAACTAGAATTCTCTTTTATTTGCTGCCATTTTGACTGCCTATAACCAGAACACTTAATTATTACTTGATCTGTTAAATTGCATGACTGAAATTTCTTATTTTCTGCACAAGTTATTAGCCAAAATATCTTGCGGTAGAGGGAATTAAGCAACGGGGAATATGTAAGTCCCCTTCAAAGTTGGCGCTCTCTTCCTACTGCCAAAATATAAACATCAGTTACACGTAGTTCCCTGCTCTGAGACAAAGACCCCGAAGGAAACCTTAGGAAAAAACCCCTGCACAAGTGGTATTTTTACCCAAAAAATTACGGGTCCATTCATTTGTTTCTTCCTTGTTTCAGATAATGGTCGTACACTAGAGTTCCCAGGACCTTTCTCCTTCATTAGCAAGCGTTTGGTGAACCACACTATAGGAACTAAAATTGTTGCTGATTTTGAGAACTGCAAGCTGCATTGTTACTACGAACACAATTGCGTGAGTGTCAACTATCACGTGAGCACAAAAACATGTGAGTTAAACAACGCTACTCATCGATGGCATAATAACGAATTCAAAGATGAAAATGGTTACCTCTATCATGGAGCAGATGTAAGTTCTTTCTAGTTAACTGCTCTCCTTCCCCTCCCCCCTTTTCCTCCCCCTGCTTCTCCTTCTCCTTCTCCTCCTCAACATTATCACCATTATCATCATCATCACCGTCAATATCATTTCTCGTTCACTTTTCTTCTTCTTCTTCTTCTTCTTCTTCTTCTTCTTCTTCTTCTTCTTCTTCTTCTTTTCTGCAAAATTTCCACTGATTATATCACTTCACCCTAATCATCCAGCTACTCGTTTGCTTCATTTACTATTTTCTCTGTTTCTCTTTTAAGAATGCCTGTGAAGAGTTCGATTGTTTAAATGGAGGAACCTGTCAATCCGGATTCACAGTAGAAAGATATCGATGTTTGTGCCCTCTTGGTTTTAGGGGTAAGCGCTGTCAAGCAGGTAAGAAAATAAAAGAGGTAAAATGGAGCCTTTCTTTCACTTAACATTTGCGGCCTTCGAGAATTGCTTTTCTTAGTATGATTTGCCGTCGTATCAAATCCATCCCACACTTCAACGTTTGGTGGACTCTTTAGCGACGGATTTCAGTGGACATGTTGGGTGGATTTCTGCATAGTGTCAAACTCGGAGAGCGTGTTAGTAACAACTAAAGGATGAATACTATTTTTTCCCTCTACAAACAATTAGGTGATTAAGAATGATCGAGCGGATTGCTAGTTTGGTTGCACGAATAGAAAATCTTCGAGAACAAATCTACTGGTTGTCGTCTCAAAGATAAAAAACCGAGGGTCCGATCGAGTGTGAGAAAAAAAAATTGCCAAAGAGTAATTGAGGCCGGCGACAAGAGGAGTCCATGACATTACATGGGTATACATGTCGATACATTATTTTAAATGCATTCTTGATACACTTTAATAACCCTACTTAAAGTACCTACCTGCACTGTACGTATTGTAGGCAGCTTCGTTCAGACTTCCACTAGGAATGCAGTGGAATGCAGATGTCGCAACCTGGTAACGCTCGTCTGGACCTTTTATCACTCGTTATCTGATTACGCCTGATTTGACTTTCACTATCAACTAAAACTTACGCCAAGCAGAGCGTTGGGTTGAGCAAGAGCATCATATATGTCAGATCTTCGCTGTCGTCCGCATTCCGTAACCTTTAGTACATAATATATCTTTGTTGTCACATACTGTCTTCCGTAGAATTCATTCAAGATGCATCTTAACTAAAATTAATTATCATTCAGATATAGACGAATGCCGGTTCAACTCTCACAATTGTAGCAACAATGCCATCTGCAGTAACACCAAAGGTTCCTTCAACTGTAGTTGCAAACCAGGTTATAGCGGGAATGGCCACAACTGTTCAGGTGGGTGCTTGCGAAGTTCTATATAATATTATTTACTCAGGCTCGCCAATCCTTGCAGGGTCACCGTTACAGCCCTCACTGAATTACTGGGGTCCGTAACAGTTCCTTCCCTCGTGATAAATAGACCACCACACAGTACGTGGGTTCTTCATCGTCCCAAAGAATGTATTTGTGCCTCAATATCCGAGAAGACTAAAAATTTCAAACCGTTTGCAGATTTGTTCACCGTATCTTTTGTTGCACCTGTTTATCTTCTAGGTTTGGGTAATTTTGGTTATAAAAAATGAGTAATTAAAAAAATAAAAAGCACACAAGCACAGAAGAGCTATTATATTATGCAAGCGACTCCTCGAAGTATAGGAATACAATTTTACTAGTATGATATGCTTTACGCCTCGTATCAGGTTAGAAACCAAAGTTAAATATACGTGGTTCTTTTCTTATTGATGCAAATCAAATTGAGGCGAGTATCAAAACAAAAAGTGTTTATTGTAACATTAGCAGTGCTTGTATATTCTTTCAATAATCAGACGTCCACTTTGTCGTGGAATTCCTCTATTACGACAGATAATGCGCTTTTGCAGTGTTTCTGTTTATCTTTTCTCGTATCATTCGATTGCTTCTGCAAACGAGGGTACGATGGAGATGGACACAATTGTACGGGTAAAATCATCTACATGGGTTTGGTTTACGTATCCACTTTTAAAAACTATGATTAGGCAGTCTTTTTTTCTTCGGGAGAACGAGAAAATATAGAGATATAGGGGGGCATGTTCGCAGGCTAAATATGTCTATTATATGAAATGACGTATGCTAATTTCTCCTTGTTTACTGCCAGATTATTGCATTTTTTGTAGTCTCGCTTGCGTAAACAGCGAGACTCATAATCTGCAACGCGTTTTTCGTCGTATTTTGGGCACAAAAGGGGGTCATTGTGCCACTCGTTCCTTGCGGAGACCGTGGAAACTGGGACTAAGAATCGTTGCGTGATCGAAGCCACGCATGTTTAGCGAAGAAAGCTTAGAAAAGATTAAATTTAAAGCTATTCCGAAAAGTGTCGGTTCACGAATTCTATCGCTTGAAAGCGTTGATTACTTAGGAACAAGTGAACACTTTTGAATGGTCAAAAAAAAAAAAAAAAAAAAAAAAGAATCTTCATTAGCAAAACTGAGATGGTCGGGTGTTGTAAACTTTTATTGTATGCATATGAGTCTTGTGATGAGCATGCGGTTTATATTCCGCGCTGATTGAAATGACGTGCCATGTAAATCACTTTTTTGATCTCTGGCAATGATGTTATTTCCCTGGAATAGAGGCCCTTGGATTTCCGTGTATTTATACACACGTATGGCCTGCGACCGCAGACGTTATTTCTGGTCGTCGCCAACACGCGTACTAAATCAGTTCAGAAACAAATAAAAAGTATCGATGTCGATAAAGTAGGTAGTAACCAGAGGGCGCTTACAGTGGCATTCCGTCTCGCCTGCTTGGAGATTAGATCGAGAAATGAGGAGGCGATTAATTCTACAAGAAACATGATTTACTCGCTACAGGTTTTTTACTTCCTACTTTATCGACGTCGATACTTTTTATTTGTTTCTGAATTGATTTAGTACGCGTGTTAGCGATGACCAGGAATACGTCTCCAGAAGCAGGCTATACGCGTGTATACTTGTATAAATACACGAAAATTCAAGGGCCTCGATTCCAGAGAAATTACATCGTTGCCAGATATCAAAAAAGTGATTTACATGGCACTTCATTTCGATCATCGCCGAAAATAAATCGCATGCTCATCACAAGACTCATTAGCATACAGTGAAAGTTTACCACACCCGACCATCGTAATTTTGCTATTTATACTCAGTAATGTTCACTTGTTCCAAAGTAATCAACGCTTTCAAGCGATAGAATTCGTGAACCGACACGTTTCGGAAAAGCTCTAAATTTAATGATTCTTTAATCTTTCCTGAACTTTTTCGCAAAACATCATGAAACGATTCTTAGTCCCAGTTTCCACGGTGTCCGGAAGGAACGCCTGGCACAATTACCCCCGATCAGTGACCCAAAAACGACAAAAAAGTCAGGGGGCAACTTCCAGAAAAATTGTGTGGGGATGTGCTGCACGCTTCCTGAAACGCTTACCCTATTTCAGACCAAAATCTGTGATTTTTCCCTACCCTATTTCGGACGAACACTTTGTTGTGGAATTCCTCTAATACGACAGAAAATGCCCTTTGCAGTGTTTATGTTTATCTTTTCTCGTACCAGCACCTTTAAATTTACTGGGTTTATTCTTCAGACATAGATGAGTGCGACGCTGCAAATAATAGCTGTCATGAAAATGCTTGGTGTAATAACGCTCAAGGATCATTCACTTGCTCCTGTAAGCCAGGGTACGAAGGCGATGGATACAATTGTACAGGTAAAATTCTTTAGGTTTTTTCAAGTCCATTTAAAACAATTCTTGACAATTCGCCTTAGTTTGAGAGGTGACTGCTGACATGTTCTGAAATCAATGCGAGTCCCGGATGTAGTTTTTATGAAACAATAAATAATTACTGATTATACTGGTGACTATATTGATTACCTGTTTGTTCAGGCAGAATAGAATTAATATTTACTTTATCACTCAGACGCAGACGAATGCCTGAACACCTCTCACAATTGTAGCGAAAATGCCAACTGCACTAACACCGAAGGGTCCTTCAACTGTAGTTGCAAACCAGGGTACATTGGAAATGGCCACAACTGTTCACTGGCAGGTTAGTTGTTGAAATTCCTGTCTCGCTTTCCGTTAGTTTTGAGACTTCTTGTTTAGTACAAAAAGGGTTAATGTTCAGTGATGTAGTATAAAATCATAAATTGCAGTAAATTATAAGAAATTGTTACTCGCTCTTTTTATGATAATTTAATTTATTTATTCAGTTATTAGTTCCTTGCTTATTAAAATCTAACAACTTCGTCTTCACGACTATTGGATAACGTCAGAGCTCATCTCTAAATATTTGCATCATCATGTAAAATACATCCTCGGATAACTCTTAGGGAGTAACTATTAACCCCCTGTTCTGTACTACGATGGGAATATAAGATAAGATAATTGACCTAGATAAACACTATCCCCGTTTTTTTGGGGGATACCATCCTACTTTGAAGCTCTCTGGTATCCCCTCCTTTACTTTTATCGTAAGTCTAACACATAGAATCGATAACATATAGTGAGCAATTGTCAATTGTGGCCCTGAAAACTTTTGAAAGAAAGAAAAAATACGAATTTTTAAGAAAATGCTTTTTTCGTGAGAAGGACTCTTAAACGCTGACAAACGTCAACAAATAGCGAAAACTATAATTTCTATATGTTTGCTTTGCTCGAAATCGCGCGCACTTTCAAGGCTCTAAAGCGTTTTGCTGACTTGCAAGGACCCATCTGTTATAACGATGCCCAAAATAAAGGGATGAATCTCATAGTTTATTAGATATAATCGTGTAAAAGTTTGCTTATCATTTTCACATAAATTATGACCTAAATTTGGAAACCGCTGAATTTCTCGAATTGGGTCTTTGCGATTTTGGTGAAACTCTGTTCAGCGCAAGGCACTAATGCGCACTATGTGTAGCCGAGAGATTTTCACGAAAAAATGCCGGGAACAGCAGATTTTCGACTCAGACCTCAAAGGGGTGTGGCATTATAACCACGTGACATTTACTCCGATCGCCAAATATTTTATGTTATATTGTAGATTGATCTATATGTTATCGATTCTATGTGTTAGACTTACGATAAAAGTAAAGGTGGGGATACAAGAGAGCTTCAAAGTAGGATGGTACCCCCTCCAAAAAACTGGGTCGAGTCAACTTAAACCCTAAGATCTAAATTAAAAATTCTCCTTTGTTGCCGCTATTCATTTACTATAGAAGTAGGCAGTGGGGAGAAGTTGCGCTACTTCAACAACGATAAATCACATACTTTTTTTTTCTCAGAATACCAGTTGTATTAGAAAACCGCAGGTCATCTCAGGGGAAGGGGGGGCGGGGGGTGCGCACCCCCTGCACCCTCCCCCTAGATCCGCCCCTGCCTATCTAGGTTTAAGTTTCATACTAGATGTAAGGATCTTACTGAACTGATAAATGGCAACAATTGCTCCGCGTGCGTAATTTGTATCTCTTAAGTTGTGCCCGTGTTCCTAGAATTGTTTTGATTATTTTAGCATATTGTAAATGTATATATAATATATACAGGATTATACTATAGCTTTTTTTAATAGCTTTTTATTTCTTATCTTTTATTTATCATATTATTCATTATTTATTTTATCTTTATGTTGTGTCCCCAATTAGGGTCAATTAGCGTCAGCTAAATACATCGACAAATGAATAAAGTTCATCATCATCATCATCATCATCATCATCATCATCATCATCATCATCATCATCATCATGTCCAATAGTCTTTGAACTACCCTAAAAAGGATTGGTATTAATCTACCTATCAGTCCGTCAAACCCTTTACTTCATCCGTGCGTCCACGATCATCCCCCCCAAAAAATGTATTCAGTTTTACCAGAAACCCTTATGAGTTTCTGGTTTTACCTAGCGTTTGAGCAAAGAGAACAAGAGAAAAAAAGAGAATTGATATACCTTAGCAGAACCGTGCTATTACTCACTTTCACATTCTCCCTCATTTCGGAATTGTCGCGTGGGTTTGCTGCTTTGCCTGTTTGCTATGGAGTTAATGGTCTTTTTTTGTTTGTTTTGACTTTTTTTTCTTCTAATGTTATCTTCCGCTTTCATTTTGTTCATTATCATTCTAATATGCATGCATGCACGTTTTTTTTTTCTTTTGGACGAAAGATTAGTCATCAATCCACCCATCCATTCATTCCTCGCCTATTCATTATACCACCTATCTGCCTTTCTATCTAATCTACAAACAGGACTTGAGTAAAATGAGGCTGTGGCTGGGTACGCAGATGATTCCCTGACCGTGATATTTTCTCATCCAAATTAACCTTTGTGTATCATCCATGTGTTTCCATTTGCAGAATTTTCAATAAACTCAACAATATTACATGGAAATCAGGATTATCTCCGACATCTTCACCGTTTTCTTGCTAGCGCTCCTGAGGTTGGGGAGGATTCTTCCTGGCTTCTTTGCTACCGTGCTACCTCACATGGCTGGAGTGAAACAATCTTCCACCAAAAATGTGATCATAAAAACAATACTGTCACCATCATAAGGAAAGGATCATACGTCTTTGGAGGATACACTGACATTCCCTGGAGTAAGATTTGATATTGATGTTTTATTACCTTTAAAAGGGCTTTAGTGCCACGGGTGTTTCACTTACACCTTAACCTACAGTTGTTCCTCATAACTACAGAATGATTCCAATAATAGTACTCGCATTGCAGTTTACAATAGGCTAATGCTTTAATAGAGATCGAGCGAGAAATACGATTGCTAGAAAGAGACATACGCCTTTTACACTATACTTAAGCTCTCTGCGGTTCACCCGTTCAAATGAGTTAAATTCTGACGACATTCTTAGTATAGATTCAACTTATATCCAAAGTAAAAAGATAGATTTTGCATTCGAGCCAAGGGGCCCATCCGAGGTTGGAGCGTTAAATCCCCTGGCTTCCACTAACGTGAAGCGATTAGTAGTATCGCTGCCTCCCCTCTGGATAAAATCATATTTCATCGCAAGGATATCATAAAGAAAGGCCCATGGGTCTTTGGAGGACAAACTGACTTTCCTTGGGTAAGATTTTACATTGACTTTTAAGTATCTTTAGTTGATAAAAGATTCAAGGGCTTTAGGTATGGACTGTGCAATAATTATCAGGAGGAGGGACTGAAAATGAACCTGACATTGAGTCCCTCCCGACTTACATTTGCATGTTCTTTCTTTATGTTGTACTGTAACGTTTTCGTAGGCTGCGTCTGGAGCATCACCTCACGCAGCGAGACAAAGCCAACCATTTCAGAACAGCCCGATTGTGCATCGTCTTTTAATTCCTCCTGTCATTGTCACTTCCGTCGATTTCCGGTTGAGTCATGACCAGTATGAACAAAACTCAGAACGCGAGCTACTAGTCTCTCTTTCCCTCCTCGACCTCTTTTATCGTCATGCTTTCGTCATGTGATTTAACAGGGGAGTTATCCTTGCATGCCGCTATTCACACAATTTTCATGTTTGCTGAAGCTCACCTGGCACTTCCTTTTGGCTGAAAATGTCTAAACATTTTTAAAAACGTAATTAGTTACTATAGAGGGGACACCCCCTTTTTAAAACCTTGAATACACCCACGTTCTGTTAAGTAGAAATAAGCTAAATTAATATCATGTAACTAGGATTGTTCATGGCTTTGGTACTAATTATTGCTAGTTCTTTGTTATATTTTGATCACAAATAATTCATGTTTCGTTCATATCAAATCACCCCCAGACTGAGTATTATTGTTAAGGTGATTATACACGGGACGATTTTTAGCGCAACACAGGGTTGCAATGTTGAAACAATGTTGTCACTATTAGAAACAATGTCGCAACGATGTTGCAATGCTGTGTTGCGCTAAAAATCGTCGTTGCGAATCGTCTCGTGTAACATCACCTTTAGTGAGACAGCTAACCCACAAAAAAATGAGATATAACCCCCCTTTTTGAAAAAAACAACAACAACAACAACTGATATTTGCTATTAATTTACCAGGTACCACGCCCCCTTCTGGTTTTAACCCCCCCGCCTCCTGCTAACATTGTACAGTCCCTTTAAAAGAGAAACATTCTAAAGTAATGCCTTGAAACCATGGTAACTGCAAAATGATTTCATTATAGCATTACTCGTATTGTAGTCTACATTAGTGCAATAGACCTCTTCCATAATCGGCCATTTGTTTATTCTTCTAATTAATGTGATTTATTCTGGTAAGTAATTGTTATTTTCTGTTCTATTATTTTATTATTTATTCATGATCTTTTTTTTTTTTTCTCTCTTTCTGGTTCGTCGTCTGTATATATTAAATTTTAAACGAAACGTAATTGGTAACACTAGTTAAAATATTGACAGAAAATAAACAGAGCTGAACTGAACTGAAATGAGTTTTCCTGGTCTCATTTGAAAGTAAGAATTGTTTTATAATTTGTATTCATATAAAAGAATATATTAATAGGCTGCAATAGTTTGCAATTGTGAAAAGGGTTTATGCTATAATAGAGATCTAAAAACAAGATTGCTCGAATGGTAGACAATTTGCATCAAGGACGTCGACTTATATACACTGTTTACATTATACTCGTAATACCCCAGTAGTTGACACTACACTGAGCTGCCCCCGCTCTGCATGATGTCGGTCAATTGTATTCTTTGTCTTTGTGTGGCTCTTTGAAATAAACCGATTACATTATTAATTCAAAAGCCGGAGGAAATATCCGTCCGTCCCCTCCCGGTGAAAAAAATTTTCTAATCTAATCTTGTCTAAGTTGGATGGAAAAAGTTCATAGCTTTAATGGATCGGCATGTCCAAGTATTATTGCATGTAACAAAGGAGATTAATAAATAAATTCTCATAACGTTTAATTAAGGGACCTTTACCTCAATGACTCCTTGCGAAGCGAGCGGCCGTAAAGCCACCCGCGGAGCGAGATAACTTTGTAGTCGAAATTCGTATTGCGTGTGGAATTAGCCTGCATAACAGGCTTATTATGAGTCAAGCGAGGCGAACGCGGCATTTTTGCGTCATGCGGGAGACGAGGGGAGCAGAAACCTCGTTCCCATGGTTCTCTCCTACCCGTCCCTAGAGAAAGAGAAAAGAGACAAAGACAGAGAGAGAGAGGGATGGGGGTAGGGGAGGTAGAGAACCCTGGAAACGAGGAGTAAAAAAGCGCCTGTTATCAGTCCATTGTTCTGGCTTTTCCCACGTTCACTGCATGAACGTCGCGCTCCAATTGGTTAATTGATGACACACGTTGTTCTGGCATGATTCTGGCATGTTTGTATGGAACAAAATGGCCGTGACGTAGTAATGTTTTTTTGACGATGTTGTTAGAAAAAGCTCCTCGTTTAGGTCCAAAACTGTTCCAGAAATAAAGGCAAAAAAAAAAAGTTAAAATTTATTGCTTAAGAGGAATTGAATTTATTGCTTGGATTGCTTCCATCTGGGTTTGGAAAAGGCCTGATTTACTAACCTTTTTTGTAATTAGGCGTTGACAGGCCAAACACGACTCATAAGCTCGTGATAGTGTAAAACGTGGCCTTGGAATTTGTTGGAACAACAGGTTTTCCCTCTTTTCTTTCTCGCCGCTGTGTTTGGACATAAACTAAGCTTTGACTGAGCAAAGCTTATTTTTGTCTTACAGTATTGAAGGTGATTCATTCCCTCGTAGTTGTTATTTCCTGTGGTTTATGCTGTTGTCGGTGTTTCTGGTAGCCAAAAAGGTGACAATTTTCGAGTAATGGATCAACTTTTCATTCGTCCTTTTAACATCACCGCTGCCAGTGAATATTTGTGGGCGTAGTAGGTGGGCGGAAGAGCCAGAAAGATGGACTTTATTTTAGGCGGTTTATTTTTTCTTCTTAGCTCGTCTCGCGCTTCGCGCAAAATGCCGCGTTTGCATCGCTTGGCTCATAAAGCGCCTGTTATGCAGGCTAGCGTGGAATGTGCGTGCACAGCGAGGGAGAAACACGACTTAGCTTTATATGCAACACGACTACCAGATGTGTGCAAAGGCCAAAGAGTTCGTTCATCCTCTGTGAAAAATGTTTACTGTTGGTTATTCATCCTGGGTGAGAAAAGGTTTACTGTCGGTAAATCGCGATCGATTCTCCTCATACAAATACTGTACAACGCCGTAAAGAGACTTATATTCTTTAAATGTGATGAATTGAGAAAAAGTACGGCTTTTACCTTCAATACCCTACTTATTTTCCTAGAATATCTCTTTGAATTCTTGATAAATACAGCTTCACCAGCTTCTGACAGCTTATGAACAGAATTTTACGACAAAAAAGCTTTAAATATTATAACTTCTCCTCCCCTCTCCCGCCCCCCGTTTTGTGGTTATTTTGTTTTGTCTTCTTTTTTTTAACTATATTATTTTTACTTATTGGCTGGTTTCAATTTGTTTGTACTGCTGCCCATTTACGCCTTCGCGAGGTGTTGCGATAAACGTATTTCACGTAGTAACAATAATCAGATTAACAAATAAAAATGACGTCATCGCACAAATACCGTAAAATTCCGAAAATAAGCCCCGGGGCTTATATTTTTCAAAGGCTTTTTTTGAGGGGCTTATTTTTGGAGAGGCTTACATTTGGAGGGGCAAATTTACGTGAAAAAAATCGATCGGGCTAGCCTTATAGTTGGAAGGAAATTTACTGTTTTTGCTGTGTTTTACTTTGTATTTGAGGGCAATTTCCAGGTACAAGCCCCCTGGGGCTTATATTTGAGGGGCGATTTTATGGAGGGTTTTTTGTGTTATAAGTTTGGGGGGCTTATATTTGGAGGGGCTTAGACATGGAGGGGCTTACTTTCGGAATTTTACGGTAGCCTATTTTACTGTCTTTGAAAGGAAAATATACATGGTAACAAATATGTTAATTAAAAAATATATATATATATATATATAAAATATGAAGTATATTTGATTATTATTATTTATTTTTTTTGTTAGAATCCAGTGGTGGCTATGGCAAAACCCCCTACGCGTTTATCTTTTCTCTCAACAATTCTGAAGGGCTGGCACCGTTTGTGAGCAAGGTAAAGGAAGATAAGACAAAAATTGCAATTGAGAGGAATTTATTTTATGGTCCAAAGTTTGGTGATGACCTCGTCATTTATCTTGACCCCGCGTATGTCCAGGACTCAAAAGCAGTCTTGGGCGTATTCTACTCTGTTCCAGCTTCAGTGAAGGACAAGGTCACAGTCCTGAAGGGGCCTGGAGGAACTTCTCACCTGATGAGGTGGAGGTATTTTTATCTTGACCCATCATGCAAGATAACACGAACTGAGTTCAACTGAAAGCGAAGAGATGCATTTAATATAACCCAAACTTCCAATCGATTCCTTTCTAGTTTCTCTTTTTTTTAATAAATAGAACAATTAATTTCTGGAATTAGGAAATATAAGGTTGTCAAAAGAAATCTTCATAGCAAAAAGCTCAATGTCAGCCTTCAAATTCTGAAAATTTAATTGTCTAAATCTGCAGTAAGAATTGGTTTATTAAATGCGTGCCTATAGCTTATCTTTTGGACATGGATGCCAGAATAGGCTGTTTAGGTTACAGGCTCCAGATTTAGTAATGCACGTTGGCAGACACTTTTCTTGCTCAGACAACTGTCGCCGATCAACTTCATCAAGGCTAAAAAAGGAACATGCACTGCTCATTACAACATTGTAATCGCTCGAGTAACTAAACAAATGTTCACAAATGTGAAAACAACAACAACAAAAAAAATTAACATTCTGTTGTATAATTCTGTTCTATAAAGCACAAGTAAAAAACAACTATACAATGGAAACCCTGTGTGCCAGAGAGTGCATGCTTTCTTACAGTCGCCATGGCCAACGTTGTTGCATCTCCCTGCGACGCATCCTACAAGCATGTTTTACCTTTTTAGAAGTAGTTTCCGTCTGAAGAAAGAAATTTTTCTGGTGAGAACTCTACACTTGTTTACTTGTATCCAAAGTCAAGTGTTCAATTATTTACGACACAGTTTTGTTTGATCTACGTCACAGCTCCTTTGTTTCCGGGGGGGGTTCCGAAAGAAGACTAATTCATGATGTGCCAGAATAGCGGTAAATTTGAACGTTAACATTCACAAAATCACATTGTGCTCATATGGCAAAACATGTGATTTTTTCGGGGAGGCTATCGTAGTAATGAGTACTTTCAATTAAAAAATGAAAATGTTCTCGTAGTAATAAGTACTTTTTAAAAAAAAATACTTAGTTTATGGGCACTTTAAGAAGTGATGCACCACATTAAAAAGATAAGCCTACAAAGTGCAATAGTCAAGCCTCTTCAACAAGGGGCATAGGATGGTTTATGGGGGCCTCGTCGCGCGTTCCTGCCCCACGTTTTGAGGGTAGGTTTTGTATTCCTTCTTGTCAACTCTCATTCTACATCTGTATTTGCAGACGTAACGCAAAGGGTTGAAATCTCAGGAGAGAATTTTCCCTGCTAGCGTTTGTCATTGACTTAGGTGTAGTTACTAGATTTTTGATACATAGTTTAGCACATATTTAAATACAAGTTATTAATTTCTATAGGTAAGCAACGTTAATTGCGATATATTCAGTCCATTTATATTATTCCAACATTTTGTACTTTTATGATAATTATCCAATATAACTTGCCACAGTATTTATTCCATGACACCAGATATTCATCTGATGTCATTTTGCATTTTCACCACTTAATGTGTTTCGATGCAGCTTTATTCACACTGAAATGCACTGAGAAAACAGGTTAGTTTTCAGGATTGCAAGAAAGAAAATACACCAAAGTTTCTAAGCAGCGAATTCTACTTAAGATTAATTTGAGTTACTCAGAACTTTTTAATTAAATAACATATCAGGAATATTAAAGGATTGCTTTGAAATGTATTTGGTTTGAGATATACTAACTTTTATTTGAATTCAAACGTACACAATTGTTTTATTTCTCACGCAGGCTATTCGCTAAACACCAAACCTTACGTTCCTTGTGTCGGATTTTCAGTAGCAGGTCTAGATCACTCAAAATTCGGCCTTTATAGATTTCAGACATTTTTGTTAATTGTCGTCAAAGTGATATCGATTATACTTGAAACTGCATTTTGACAAACTCCATTTCATAGTCAATCACTGGTGAAGGACAAGGATAGTAAATAACTGTTAAGGCGATTGAAAAATATCGGTATGATGTCCTGAAAACTGCATCGAAACACCTTAATTAGCTTAAATTGATTTTTGATAGCAGTCGCTCGCGATAGTTATTTGATTATCAAGTAAAAAGCGAGACAAAGGAGGAAACGGAAAAGGAAAAAAAAACATGTTTTGCCTTCCCATCACCCCTTGCTCTCGCTCGTTCCCATTATTCTCCACTGAGGCCCAGGACTGCGCTATGCAGAACCTTGAAAAAGCCTCCGCACGAGGCAGTAGAGTTAGTGCCGGATGCGGGGTGTTATTGATCTTCATCCAATACCTTTTGTTATAGTTTATGACTTCTAGTGATTTTTGGCATCATACAACAATATTAAACACTTAATAACTGTTCCCGAGGAAAGCAAAATTCACTGTTTCTCTACGGAACAGTCTTTAAGGGATCTGTTATATGGTTGAAAATGTTGAAGCTGGAAAACATTCTTTAAACCTCGCTGTGACAGCGCGGTCGTCGGTCAACATTCGCGAGTAACAGTGCACTGTTACCCTCTGACGTCATAGATTTTGCAATGTTGCCCGCTGAGAGATTTTGGCGGGAAACAGTTTCATTGTTAGATGCGATGTGATCTCGAAGTAACCAATGAGAGCGCACGCTGTACGAAAAAAAAATCCAGCTATATAACACTTCAAAATGTTTAAGGGCGATAGCGAAGTGAATATAAAGTAAAATTGACTATATTGCACTATGGTAACTATACTGCAGTATATTTAAAACACTCATAAAGTCTGGCACCTTTACTATCGATTACGAGAACTATTTAAGACACGTTAGGGCGAACACTATTATAGGGAAAACAAATGTAAAATATATAATGTCCAGCGCAAATAAAGAGAAAAATGGATTATTGGGTTGCGAGCTTTGTATATAGTACTGATTATTCAAAGTTAAACACATCACGGCCGGATACATTATTTCTTTATCATATCATGACCCAGGAGTCATTTTATAAGTTAAAGGTCGAGTACATGGATGATCGTACGGGTGAACGAAGTCCTGAATAGGACTGTTGTTGTTGACAGTGACAGAGGTTTCGACAACCTGTGCGGTAGTCATCTTCAGAGTCAAAGTGAGTCGTACCATGTCAGTTGTAGGTATTAAACTCGGGATATTGACCTGATTGGTCAATTAAGTCTTGATCTTATTGGTCGAAAGCCAGTTAAGTCGTGATGTTATTGGCTATAAAGACTCGTGATGTCATTCGTGCAATTCGATCCGCCTATTGTCACAGTTTAACAGTCGTTTAACTGCGCAGTCTTTCGAAAGATTTAGGAGGACGAAGTGTCGTAGTGTAAAAGAAATGAAAGCGATGGCTATATTCGTTTAGAGTAGGAACCTTATTTTTTTGCTCGTGAAAAAGGGTCTTTGCAGTGTGTTTTGAAGATAACTGCAGACATCGCCAGTCTTCGCCGCGTTTTAAAGCAGGTATCATTATATTTTTAAATTTTTGTAGACTTTGCATTGATTTTCCTGAGACAAATAGGCCCTTTTTAGAACTGGGTCACGTGCTTGTTATCACTTAGCAATGGCTCGCGAGATGGCAAGCTATCCAAGCGTTCATTCAAAAATAAAAATGAGGACAGTCCATCTATCAATGTCAAGATTGATGAACAGGTTGTTAAATCATCACCAGACTTGAAGTTACTGGGAGTAACATTAGATGATGAACTTAGTTTTAGTACTCATATAAGTGATATGGGCAAAAAAAGGCAAGTAAGAATTAAAGTTGGTGTTCTAGTACGTCTTAGAAATATGATTCCCAGAGAAGCCAAGTTACAATTGTACAAATCGACAAATTTACCTAACTTAACATATTGTCATATAAGGTGGCATTTTTTGCAAAGCATCTGATGCTAGAAAATTAGAAAGAGTACAGGAACGGGCATTACGTGCTGTATATGATAGGAATGCTTCGTGTAAGGAACTCCTAGAGAAGGAAGACTCTCTAGTCTTGAGAACAGACGGCTACAAGATATACTAATTTTAATGTACAAGGTTAAAAATTCACTAGCTCCAGAGCATGTATGTAATATTTTTTTTTCAGCAAGATAAGCGTTATAACTTACGATGTGATTTTCCTGTTCCAAGATATAATACTGTTAAGTATGGCAAGCACAGTATCAGATATTTAGGCCTACACATATGGGGCAAGATAAGCCAGGAACTACGCAGTAAGAGCAGTCTTCAGGCATTCAGGAGAGGGGTGTGTGCTGTCAATGTGCTTGCTGGACGGTATGTGTGGCTGATGTGCGCGCTCATCTTAGAGTGGTGGGTATGCATAGTGGCTTCTGCTGTCTGGCTGCCTGGTGTATTGGGAGTGTGCTCCCCTATCCTCTATTTAATTCGTCTAATTTAAATTTTCTAGACTTTTAACTTTCTGAATTTTGTATTTATGTTTGACTGCTGCTTATATGTTTGTCTTATATTGTCTGTTTGTTTGTCTGTCTATCTGATTGACTGTTTTGTTTTTTGTCTATCTATCTGTTTGTCTTTGTTTGTTCCCTGCTTGTCCTTCTGTTTGTTTACGTATACTTGATTTAATCTTATATTATATTCATTTTATTTATTTAGTGTCCACAATTAGCTTTTAGCTAAATACCTTGACACTTTAATAAAGTTCATGTATGTATGTATTCACATCACAAAGCAGCGTTAAATAGGCGTTTGCGCCTTTTTTAGTAACTGTCTTTTTTTTCTTTTTTGTTTAATATTTTTATCCCGTATATTTTCCTATTTTGACTTTTTGTATTTACGAATTTTCGACCATTTGCGGGGACGCACGTGCGTATTACAGAACAGGAAGCTATACCCCAAACCATATAAGTCTAAAACCGTGCCTTTCCTGAGACCCTAACATCTTACGTTCTTTGTAGTCAAGGTAGGAACGCAGAATGACGGATCAAAGTGCAAGACGACTTGTTTCCCTTTTTTTTTTTTCTGGAGTAGCGCGGTTGGCTCAGGAAAACTGCTACCAAAAACGATACCCTATTTTTATAATTATTATATACAATTATATATAAATATTCAACTGATAACTTTATTTTATTCTACCTGAGATAAAATTCCATAGCAATGTCACCGTCTTTTATTGGCGAACATCGACATACTTTTAAAGCAATGACCGTGCTGCAACTTTCATCTGTAATCTCTGTATCTTCCAGTTCGTCTTTCAGACCCTATGCATAATACAGTGGAACCTCAATTTAAGGAACTACTACAAAACGAAGTCCTCGAGATAACAAACGGTTATCTATACACCAATAATAGTAGAATACTAATGAAAAATAACAAAACCTCGTTATAACGAACAAATTTTGTCAGCCCCTTGGCCCTTCGTTAAATCGAGGTTCCACTTTAATGCATTTTCGTTTGACAAGGTAGATATTTTCACGCGTTTTGGCCTTGCGTTCACACTGAAGCGATCAAACGAAGGGTTAGGAAAACGCTATCGAAAGGGAAAGATCTGATTGGTCAGTTTTTGACAGCTCAACACCAGAGTAGCCATAAGGGGTTCTTGGGGCGGAATTCAAATTTATGAGATGTCATTGCAAGCTCTCCCTCCTTTTCCTCCCCACCCCCGCATCCCGGGGAAAGCTTGCTCGCAAACGAAATGCAGGTCCAAGAATGCCCTAAAAGGCAATTATAGACACAGAACTCTTGATGGGTTTTGCCCGCGAAAGTTAAGGAAAGCTAAGGTTTTATCATAGCGAATATGTGTGGAAGAGTCCTTAGTTTGCTATATTACTATAAAACTTACAACAAATATATAGATCTTCTGTTTTGAAAGGGCGTATGCCCGCATGTTCGCCACGGCATGCAGGCGTTACAGGAGAAGAACTAGAAATGCGTGTTTGGCAGAACCTCGCGCAGCTCGTTGGGGGATGGGAGAGCGGCACAGAACTGGAGTAGCCTCGGCTTGGTCGTTATATTCTCTAATATACATGTTTAAAGCTGTACTACGTCTGTTGCTGAAGAAACACCGCACGTTTGAAATTCTTTCAATATAAACACAGGAAACCCAGTTCCACCTTAAAAAATATTGATGAGAGTGTAAATGGGAAAGAGACGTGTCAAGCAGCAGAATATATCAGTCATTGGTCTATTCAAGTTAGCTGGACGGCAGAAGAAAATGGATGACGTTTTCATATACCACGAATGTCAGAGCACACGCTGAAGTCACTCTGTAAAAACAAAAGCAAACAAACGTAATCACAAACAACGTTTGTCTCGTGCCTTTTACTATGTTTGTTTGCTTTTTCATGTGTCTTTCCTATACGTTTCATTGTCTAGTTGTTCGTTTTAACTGTATTAGCGAGTTGTTTTCAAAGTTCCGAACTTCCCTGCGTACAGTACAAACTTTGTAATCGGCATCTTTAACGAGTGGCCACCTTTATTAAGCGAACTCAGCCACCCCTTTACAGCCCATGTTTTGCCTTTCTTGTTATTTTTGCCTGTGTTAACTAGCGACCACCCGTAAATGTGAGAAAAGGAAGGAATGAGATATTTCGGTGTTAGCGTCAGGGCTCACATACACTGTCTGGTTGGCCGGCAGGATAACGGATAGTGCTTTATCATAACGGTAAGTTTATTTCCCCGTTGCGGTTACAAGTTAGCAACTTTGTTTAAAGAATAAAAAGTGAAAGATCACGACAGATCAGGGTCGCCCTGGTATAGTTCGCCTGAAAGGACGTTGATTGCTTTATAGTATGATACAATGAAGAATTGAATGAAGTGCTCTTCTATGAAGACTATCAATTAGTTGCGTTTCGACGGCCACACCCAGCGGGTAATTTTTGTTGTCTTTTTATTGATCGACCACCTTTATTAGGCGGCAAGTCTCTTACATACCCGTCGAGGGTGACCATTATAACCAGGTCAAACTACAGTTATCATTTTCCATTATCATTTCAAATTTCCATGCCTATTTTTTGTGTGTTGGTTGGTTTGTTTGTTCCTCGTATGAGCCTTATTTCAGGCAAGTAAGTTAGTTGGTATGCGGCATGTGGGAGGACCGGGTATAAATCCCAGCCGGTCACAGAGTTCATTATCAAAAGAAAATGCCCTCTGCTGTCTGTTTAAGACCTTGCCTCCGACCAGACGATCGGGAAGTGGCGTTCAAAAGTGGAAAAGGTAATCATAATATCGTGATTTGATTATAGTCACATAGATATCTGCGCGTTATAAATTCTTAAATTATTATCATTATTTCTAAGCCTTTGGCCTTACTTCCTTCATCCTTCCCTCTCATTAATAGTTCAGCAAAAGTGGACGAACAGTACTGAACCTTCGTTTTGAGCCGAATTTTCGTCCCATTTCGTCTCATTGGGCGAAATTTCGCCGACAATAGATGCACCGAAATTTTACCGATATTCCCTCGAAATTCGTGAATTTTGACGAATTTCGGAGAAGTTTGATATCATTACTTTCGCCTAGTGTTGTTAAACAACCAACTGCCTCTATTGTTGAAAAAGAATAGGAAACGTTTCCCAGGTGGTGTGGTCTACCGCCTCTTTTGTTTCACTAATCATACATAGTGCGGGGTGGGAGGATAACGTAAGCTCATGAATGAACAAATAGCAGCAGCCAGTGACGTCCTCGTATGCCGCCTCCCGTTTTTTTTTTTTTGTTTTGTTTTTGTTTTTTGACTTTTTCACGCACAGTTGCGTTAGTAACTGCACTGATCTTTCACGTGTGAAGACCAAGCTTACTGTTAAAGAGGACAAGTGAGGTTGTCCTTTTATCGGCGGCATCTACATTACAGTTCTGGCCCCAGTTGTTCAAATTTTCTATGGCGCAATAAACCAGATAAATCATTATCCAGTGGATAAGTATTATGGATACCAACTGCGTTATGCGCTGGATAGAGATTTATCCAGTGGATAGCGTTATCTGCCTTTTTGAATAACTAGAGCCTACAAATTACTCACTATCATCCAGACAGGTTTTAACTCTGGGAGCTCTTTTGTTAGGGATCTCACCTGAGAACATTAGGAACCAATCCTTTATAAAATCCCCTCACCCCTTCGTATCTAGAAAATCGGCAAAAAGCTAACTTCAGAAGGTGACTGTCTAAAGGTATAAGTCTTGGAGCGCTGGACAATGTTACTCAAAAATTCCTATCAACGGAAACGAAAATGACGGAGCTAGTCCTTCATCTCACCTGAAAGTTTTACGGATGACGTCCACTGCTCCTTTGTATTCAGTCATCGTGTATTGATTCTACAGACATATAATAAAGCAAAAAAAAAAAAACATTATTATTGAAATAATCGTAAATGAACGATTAAAAACTCGCATTTTTTTTTTACATTTTCCTGACACTTTTGCTCCAGAATTAGCCGTTTTAAGGTTAATCAAAACGCATTTAAAGATTTTAAACTCTTCGCGACAACTTCTCGCTAGAAACTGCATTCTTTTAGAGCTACCTACAGCCAGGAGAAATGTGTTACCAAAAAGGAAGGCAAACTATGAACAATGTTACATACGAACCACTGGTAACCAAACACGCAGAGTAAAATTTACTTTCTCTATCGCTCACCGTTTCCCCACACCAAATATATTAAAAAAGAAAGAGAACAACAGCCATACTGTACTGTTTGCCCTCGTTTGTAGTCACTTACAACCTCAAGCGTTTACTTCTGTCAACGAGTGAACGATCGTTAACGTATTAGGGGCACCGGGGAGGTGTCTCCAGGGAAATCACCAATGGTACAGTCCGCCTGCCAGTATGACGTCACGTCTCGCGTCAGTGACTTCTAAATGGCGAGCAAAATGTCCGTCGAAGAGACGGATAAAATGTCGATTTTATCAGATTTTAAGGTTTTCTATAGTCATAGAAAACTAGATTTAAGTACTTTTTTGGAATGAAATGTCCAGTGGTGTAATGAATTTTAAAGATTCCTTTCTATCGTCGAGCAAATTTTACGGGCAATCATACTGACCGGTCACACTTTTGAGGGCCAGTGCAAAGCAAGATTGTGCAGTTTAGACACAGCAATAGGAGGTTCATCAAAAGATGTATTATACTTTACATTGTGCGTATTTTCAGCTCTACAGAGCTAGTGAAACCCCATATCATTCCTCTCAAAGTTCGCTTAGCTGTAGTATTGAAAGGGGAAGCTCAATGACAGGTATTTGTGAGAGACTGTGAGCATTGAATCGGGATTGAGTCTTGTCGCTTTACCGCATTTTAATACTGTACTGGGCATACACCTGTAGTTCTGTAATTAAATCCCGAAAACTAATAAAAGGTTTCGTTTAATTATTTTTTCGGGGCAAACCCAGTGGAGATTTTAGGGTAATAGCGGAGCTGTCGGGGGGGGGGGAGCGCGCCTGCGGAGCTCCATGGCTAAGTAAATCTACCCATCCCAGAAAATTTGGTAATCACGTGACCATACACCGCCCGCCCGCCCGTCCGTCCTCACCATAGGGAAACCAGTGTTCAATCCTCACACTTTCTACCTAGTTTGGGAGCACAGGAAGACTGATATTGCACACATATATTGCACAACAATGTTGTGATCAATTGACAGCTGTCAGAACAGGGTATCCGCTGACCAGTATCACCTCACCGTATCGCGGGCTCAGGTGTCGATTCATCTAGGTCGAATATCTTTTTGAAGTTATCCGCAGACAAGTTACTAGTTTTCAAATGATCGCAGGCTCAAGTGATTTTTTTTTAATTCATATGAAATATGTTGTGTTTTGTATGTGCGGCACAATTAAAATGTTGATTTCAAACTGACCTCGGAAGCTAAAATTCAGCCAGTTTTTACAAGCAGGGAAGACATGCCAGTTGCTTTTGACTTTCCTAACCAAGGTCACGCGTTGGTCACGCTCTACGTCCAATTTTTATGCTCTGATTGGTCAAAATTTGACAGGTGAGTTTATACGGAAAATTTATGCAGCATCTTGAAACTTGTTTACTTTGACAGCTGACGCTGACAGAGTTTTGTGTCAACTTGTGATGTTTTTAACTGTCTTTTTCCACTGAATGTACAAAATGAAATTCAGCTGCTATCAAGAGTCTTCTGTTATTCGTGGCTAGTTGGTTTATTGGGTTTTGGTTGAGAAATACGTCGCTTGTCAAAGTCGGAAATCCGATTTCGGATGGCATCGTTTTCGTTTTTTCACCTTGCTTGATGCGTAAGACGGTTGAAAAGTCTGAAGCGATTCACTGGCCTTACGTGATAGTTTTCAGTGCATCTCGAAATGGTAAGGGCTTAAAATGGCAGTCTGGTTGTCATTGTTGTTGTTGTTGTTTTTTTTTTTCAGGGGGGACAATGATGTTGATTTGGGAAGGAAATAAATTAGGGTAGAAAAAGGTATACACATAAACCAGTTGCAGCTGTAGTTCGCTAATGGGCTTAAAAGGCACCTTGTTGTGGTGCTGGACTATCTGGCATTTTTCTACTAAATATTCACTTCACATTTTAATTTTTCACAATCCCCGAATACAATATTTTTCAATTTTCTAACATTTCAAACATCCCCATTAATTTTTTATATATTAAACTCATTCGAAAAATCATCCGAAAATTCTCCAAAAATTATCGGACCATGGACTCAACTAAATTGAGCCATTTTCTGATTCAATGAAATCTCGTCTAGATATTTAAGAAAAAATGGCTGAAATGATTTCAACCAGACTGCCTCCTCAAACAAATTTCTTGCTATTCAAAGACCTGTCTCAATAAATCAGCAAGTAAACCTCAACTAACTTCTAGCAGAGAGAGAGACTGTTGGTAGCCTATCCAGGCAGGCCAGATCAATACTCAAGAATCTCAAAGGCGCAGTTTTTCGGGTTTACTAAGGGTTGGTTGCGATAGAGGGACCATGAGGTATTTAAATGTAGCAGTGCTATTTCAGGAAAATCAATCAAAAATCATTGATAATGGTTTGTCCGTTCCTTAGTTGGAGAATGAATTACTTTGAAATCATGTTCTTGGGGTTCAAAGGTTATCATATCATCAGCGAGAGAACCTCCTAATTTGGGAGATTTCTTGTGATGCTGCGCCTGTTAGGAAAACGAAGGTACTGGTCCAGCAGGGGGAGGGAAGGGGAGGGGTACTTCTGCACATTACGGTGCGGGTGTGCAGCATGCTTCCTGTAGCCTAGCCCCTACCTCAGACCAAAATACGTAATTTGCTCTCCCCTTTAATATGTCAGCTTTCAAGAGACGAGTGATAGAAAGAAACATATCATGTTCAAGAGCCTTTAAACTGAAAGATAAATAAATAATCTGCATTGCTCCATGAGGCACAAAAACGACCAAATAAATCACTAAACTAAGGATTGAGTATGTTGTGAATGTACTAACCTGGTATAACCCCTTTAAACCCCCTGTTCTGACAATGGCCTACACTGCATCAACTAGACCTCTGTACGCTGGCAACTTCCCACTGCCATCATTACACTTTAACTAATAACAAAAACATTCATATATTAAAATAAATAAAGCTACTGCTTGAAACTAGATGCATTAACAAAATTATGTAAGGCATGCTTTTATAAGGTCTTTTTCTTAAATGCAGATAACAATTGCTAATTAAGCCCAAAAATTTCAAGGCGCAATGGAATTCGAACCCATGACCACTCTATTTATGTACTTATAGTGCTGCAGTGCTTTTACCATATGAGCAACATGTAAAAAAGAACCCCACATTGGGACCAGTTCCTCTTAACTCTTGAAGGAAATATTAAACATAATATTCTAATAAAAAACAATGTGCAGAAATATAAGGCCTGTTTTCCTCTTCTCTTTTTCTACAGTAGCCTATCAATTTTTCTATTTTCTAACTCATCATTATACAGAGTCATGTCATCAGCTTGCAAGTAGGATAGGACGTGTCAATGAGGCGGATTGAAAAATGGGTGGAACAAATTTAGAATAACATTGCCTCCGAGGCTCAAGTGCTCCTCAGTGAAAAACCCCATCATAACCTGACCTTATAAATGGGTTTCTTTTAATTGAGAGAGAACATTTTGTGCCTGTGTGGCTAGTGGATTTGGTACTCATGACAGTTGCAAAAGCACCTGTAGTTATTAGGCTATAAATCTATAAGGAGAATGGGTTAAAGCCACTTGCAGGGACATCAAAAGAGCACTTTTAAACTTTGGTCCCTCCAGCTACGCAAGCTATAATAGTTGGCGATCAAATTTGACTCATTTTTTTTTATGCTTGGTAAAGCAAAGGTAGTATTGTTCATTTAAAAAATCAGTGCAATAAAGAAAAAAACCTTCAGACAGATTCATGCAGGCCAGGGTCTACTTATACTTGACCTGTATTATCGCTTGCCAAATTATGGGTTGGGGAAGGTGTTAAATTCTCATGATGTTAACCTAGTTGCCTTCAAAATATTTTACAAAATGTCAATTTCCTCCACCACTTCATTCAAACCTAAAAAATAGCGTCTTGAATTCCCCCTCACTTGGGGATGGACCATTTAGAAAATTTATGGGGGTGGGGGCGAAGTACAAAAAAGGAAAAATTAAATGAAAAAAATTCATGCATGCCAATTAACCTAAAAATATTCGTGCTACAGGTTAAAAAAAAATTCATACAAGGATTTGATAACGAAAAACTCTGTGGCTCAAAATTCCCCACATAATTTTTTCTAATGGTCCATCCCTTAGACAATCCAACCCATCCCTACTGAACCCGTCATTTTTTCCTGGTTTGCTCCAGAGTCCTACCTAAACAAAGCTAATGACATGTACAGTCGTAAAGCCTATCATTATTAATAACACTTTTTTGTCCATATTGCGCACGTATTTGACTATGCAGTACCACCTTTTATCCCACCACATTTACATGTACATTGACTGATTCTCCTAAGATGAGGAAGTCTGAACCCTACAAGGTAATGTTTTGGGACATAATTGAGGATGGGATTAGGCCACAACAATTGTCGTGAAAATGGATTTAATGAAGATAATTACTGCACGGCAGGATTAGAATCTTACTGGGGAACCTCTAAAATTGCCATCGTTAGGAACTGATTTTACGTCATAGAAGAGTCCAGCTTATCTTTTTTAATCACAAGGAAAGAAAAATCCATCCAAAGTTAACCTTGACAAATAAATACGTTTAAATATACATGTAGAAGTACTTAATCTTATTATTTTTTCGCTTTTCTGATTTATTTGCTATGTTTTATTATTCACGATAACGCTAGTTGCAGGGCAGCACTAAAACATGGAACTGA